AGTGAGATGTTCTTCCTATTTCTTCTTGACATGTTTTCTTGCTTTAATAACTCAGTAATTATTGTCTTCTCTAGGTGCCCCCTTTCACCTTCGATAGTAGTCTATTCCCCAAGGGTGTTACCTGTGTATGTGTACGATGCACATGCAGATTGTGGGAAAAACGTCAGGTTTTGTTGAACTCTTCTCTGTATGCTGAAGTTTTGGAGTTCTTTCATTTTTCAATGAATTTTTATCAAGTTATCCAAAAAATTCATGTTCTACTTTCTATCCTCTGTGGTGCATTTCTTTTGCTTTATGGCGTTGCATTAGCTATTGAAGGATGGGGTGTAGTTGCAAGTTTGAAAATCTATCCCCCTTCCGCTGGAGCTGCTGTTTCAGCAATTACCCTTGTCGTAGCTTTTGGATTCGCTCTCTCTCGCCCTTGTTTGACTCTCGAGGTATTTCCAGTCATGGTATTTGCGCATCTTTGGTCAAGTTATATCCTTTATTATGCAAATTAATGTCTTTAGGATGTTTTGCTACTAAAATCTGATCTGGGCAGCGTCAAAAGTAGTCTTTAGACTGAAATAAGAGAGCTACTGGACTTTATATGCCCTTTTAAATGAATATCATGAATGGGTTTAGAAAAAGTTTTAAGTAAGACGAGATTCATTTTTAGATGCTATAAGGAACTTATTTGTCAATTTCTCTACAAGGACAAAATGAAAAGAGCTTGGATACTAAATGATAAAAGTTTTGAACTAAAACCAAATAAAAAAATCAGCCCTTTTTGCAGCACTTAATCAAGTGATAAAGATAAGTTTTAAGAATTCTAATACCGTTCTTGTTTCAATTTGCAGCTTTGTGTACTTTGCATGCTGTTAAGGAGTGGAAGAGTTATTGGAGAAATAATTGAGCTAGGTTACAATCACCAGGTAAGTGTGGCTGGACTTGACTCTTTTAATTTCCAACCGTGTGAAGCTGTGCTTGAGTCTGGTTGTGAAGTTTCCAACGTGTTTGTTGCTGATTCTGAATCTGATTTTGAGACAATATTTGGAAACCTTTTTGAAGTCAAAACTGAACAAAAAATGGCTACTTTGAAAGAACTTGCTGCCCCTGATTTAAATGTTCAACCTTTGGCTATTNGCCTCTAGGATAGGGTCTATTAGGAAGGATATCTGTGGGGTCAAACAAATGATAGGTGAAAATTTTTCTGAATATTGGGAGAGGTTTAACAAGCTTTGTGCTTCATGCCCACAACATCAAATTTCTGAACAATTGTTGATTCAATATTTTTATGAAGGACTCCTCCCCACTGATAGGAATAATGTAGATGCTGCAAGTGGAGGAGCCCTTGTTAACAAAACCCCTACTCAAGCTATGGAGCTTTTTAACTTGATTGCTCAAAACACCCAACAATTTGGAACAAGAGAGACACTGGTTAAAAAGGTCAATGAACTTGAAAGTAAATCGATTGAACAAAAGCTTTCTGAACTCACCTTTATGATGTCAAAACTTGTTTCTGGGGGTGGGAATGTTAGGGGAATCCATTATGGAGTGTGTTGTCTAGAAGGGCATGCAACTGATGCTTGTCCAACCCTTCAAAATCCTGAAGTCAATGCTGTTTTTTATAATAATCAACAAAGAAAATATGATCCATATTCAAATTCTTATAATGAGGGCTGGAAGGATCATCCAAATCTCAGATATGGCCCTCCTCAAAACAATACTCAGAATTTTAATCAAGCAAATAGGGGAAATCTGAATTTAAATCATCAACCTAACCAAGATAGAAGTGCCCAGATGCTTGAACAAATTCTTAAGAAAATGGATGATAAATTTTCAAGTTTTGATTCAACTCTTAAACAAGTTCAAGAAAAACAAACAGCTACTGATGTGATTATAAGCAACTTGCAGGCTCAAATGAGTCAAAGAATCCCTTCTCAACCTTTTCCAAATCCAAAAGAAAACATAAGTGCTGTGGTTTTAAGGAATAAGAAACAATTGCCTGAACCTAAGGGTAGGGATAGGTTTGAGAGTGAGAAAGAAGTACCTAAAGTTGTGAATCTTGAGTTAGATGAGGCTACTGTTCCAAACAGCAGTTCTCATGGGGCTGAAACAGTGGGAGAAACACCTGGGAATGACACCACAGACCAAGGGAAAAGGGTAGAAGACATGGACAGACCTACAGCTCCCTTCCCGAGTAAGTTCCTTAGCCAAAAATCTAGGAATAAAGACTTAGATCATGAACTTTTAGATACCTTTAAGAAGGTAGAGATCAATTTGCCCCTCTTAGAAGCCATCAAACAAGTGCCTAAATATGCAAAATTCTTAAAAGAGCTGTGCACTAATAAGAAAAGACTTTCGGGGAATGAAAAAATCCAAATGAGTGAAAATGTTAGTGCTGTTTTTCAAAATAAAATGCCTCAAAAATGCAAAGATCCTGGGGTTTTTTCTAT